GTACCATAGCAGAACTTGGACATCCACCACTGATACCACTATTCTTGAGCATTATCTGGACATTGTACCTCTGTATCACTACTGAAACAAGCACATTGTAACAACTTAAAGTCTTCTATCACATGTTATTGCCCTTCTTCTAATAGACTATAAAGCTGCTTCTACAGCCTTAAAACAGACTGGTTTACAACTAGTGTATGGATGTCTATGATAGATATTATTACATAAGATACAAGATGTGTGACTGATAGAACACCAATTGCTCAAATTGAGGCCTGAGTATACTGAAGTCAACATGTAAAGTCCAAGTTGTGGCCCAAGTACCCCAAGTACCCCAAGTATATAGACTTGGGTCAAGTCTGTGGACTTGGGGCCAAGTACACGGACTTGAGGCCAAGTACACGGACTTGAGTCCAAGTACATGAACTTGGGCCCAAGTATGGGTCCAAGTCCGTGACATTTTCCTGATGACTGGTCACCCTCGCCGACGTCGGCTTCTTCGCAAGGTACATCTTTGACAACTGCGAGAAGACATCTGCACAGGAACTCGAGATCGCGAGTGACTGGGTCGATTGGAATCACCTTGTCTCGACTTTCATCAAGGTCACGGGGAAGCCCGCCGTATACGTACCGGTTTCCCTCGACGAATGGTTCAACTTTTGGGATGAGGACGACATTAACAGACCTATCGCGACCGAACGTTTCAGCGCCCCTCCCGATGGCTCAACTACGTGGAGGCAGAACTTCACGTGTTGGTGGTCGCAATACAGGGATGACATCATCAAAAGGGACTTCAAGTGGCTCAGGCGCGTTAACCCAGATGGACATAACCTGGAGAGCTGGATGAGGGCAACAGGTTACACGGGGGAATACAGCGCCGCGTTGCTGAAGAATGCCGAGGACGGCAAGTCACCTCGGCGCAACTTGGAGCGCGTTTCTCGGATGTAAAATGGGTTGTGAGTTCAACGCTCGCTGCCCGTGAAACATGAGTGGATTGGATGTAATTAGAAGGGGCGTTCTGCTTTCAACGACGCAGTCTTGTCGCACTCAGTACTCGTTCTGCGAGAGCAATCTTCCGATGCCACAACGTTTGTTGTGTAACCAAGTCCTTGTACTGGGGGTGCTGGTGGCATGGTCACTACGTGTATTGCGATTGTCTTGAGCTATCCTGTTGAGAACCATGAGCCCTGACCACATGTCCACGTTGATGGTGCTACTGACTTAGTAAAGGATGTAGCCGGAGCACATTAGTACGATGCATGTAGGCTTACACAGGGATACGCCTTGGGTAGAGCACGTCAGGCACGGAAACAAGGGGTAGGCCTGGTCTACGAATCGTCTCGTTGGCGTAATGCTTCATGTATAGCAACGAAGCTCTCCCTTCACGGGAAATTTTAACCAGGAACAGCACGAATGGAAAGGATGACTGGCACTATAGTACACATTTCAAACAGACACTCTTGGTTTCCGGGAATTAGCCCCGGATCGTACCGCTTCTTGGCATGCGAAGGCTTACTCGTCATTAAGACCCAAAGACAGGTACAGCGGGTCAGTCAGTCCAGCGCGTAAGATGACTATACTGTCGAGATTTGGCCCTAGCTAGCGACAGTGTTCTTGAAATTTCAGTAGTCAAACCATCTGCACTGGGAGTGGTACTGACACTATTCGCACCTAGCAACGTAACTTGAAGCCTAATGACTCCTGGCCGCGCCTATGACGGCGTATGTCCTGCATTCTGGTCTGCGATGGACCCATACCAAGAATGTCCAGCTCTGCTCAGGTCACCTGATTTTTGACTGGGTCTAGTACGTAGATTGTCGGTTTCAATTGCGACCTGAAAGGCAGTAATCCGAGGCATGACTCGTACTCAGTAGTGATCATGGAACAAGCTGGTGCCGTTGACTGAGCGACTGAACGGTAAGGCGTATACTGGCGGTCCCATTCGAGAGCTGCAGAGTGTCAGTGTTATGAGAGCTTTTCGATGAGCATTGAGACAGGTGTGCTTCATACCATCATGATACGGTCACGTCCGAGTCAGGTCCTACATAGAGGCTACGGCGACTCTTCCGCTGGGGAAAGGCGGAATTACCGGCCCGGGACCGGGAGGCACCGGTGATGCGTAACGCTGTGATGGCATCACACTGCACCCGGATGCGAAGTTGACTTGAAGCCCCGATTCCGCTTTCTGTCGCTTAACACAAATTCCACCTATCCCAGGCTTCACCTTCCCTCAAGCTCACTCATAAGGTCTAGCGAGAATATAATACGACGAATGGCTGATAGTCCACCCACGAAACGGATGAAGTTGGAGTCGTCACCAGTCCTTGCATCAGACAGTACTCGTCCGCCCGAGTTGGACGAACATGAGGAAGAAGAGCTTAATGGAGAACGATGCAGTATCTGTTTGCAGCCGTACGCAGACCGTACAATGATACCCACATGCTCGCATGAGTTTTGCTTCGAGTGTCTCCTCATCTGGACTGGTCAGTGCTTCCGTCTGCATGAGCCGCGTCCTAACATTTGACGCTTTTACCGCAGATCAGTCTCGCCGTTGTCCCCTGTGCTCGCAAGACGTCGGGCAGTATCTCATGCACAATGTCCGGTCGAAGTTCGACTACCAGAAGCATTACTTGACACCGCTGCGCACTTCCCCTCAACCTGAAGCAGCTACCATTGTTCGTGCAGAAGCACGCAGACGGGCAGAGAGGCGCAGAGAAGTCGAATGGGGACGGAGGAGGAGACAGCGCGAAGAGGCAGATGAATTAGAGCAGGCTATTGAGAAAAGGAGATGGGTGTACAGGAACAATCTCTATGCCAAAGTAAGTCCTCGCCCGCCTTCATTCCTTCTTGACCGCATGCCACAATGTCTTAGAGCGATCAGCCGACAACGGAACGTGTCCTTTGCACGGCATGTCCTATTTAGCTCTTTAACACAACCCTAACATGAGTTTCGGTAGCATGTAGCGTCCAACCCATATACGCGTTACCGTCCATTCCCAACTCCTGCGCAATTTGCAGCTTCCCAAGACATGATCTCGAGGGCTACAGTATTCATACGTCGGGAGCTACATGTTTGGGCGGCTTTGGACGTGGAGGTTAGTCTCGAGGGGAACAATGGCTGCCACGCCAGGACCATAGGCTGATTCATGACATGCAGTTCCTTACCACCTTCACAGTCTCTCTTATGAAGTCATTAGACATACGCTCTGAACCTGCTGTGCGGCTTCTTTCTGAATTTCTGGACATGGATGCTGAGCATGGACGAGAACGTGCTAATGCTGAACATTTTGCGCACGGTAAGTTCAACAGTCCATATGGATGCTTCACACCTATACCCGTGATATCTTTGCGGCATTGTCGTCGCTATCTCCCACTAATTCATCATAATTCGCGGTTGTCATCCACCACAGACTTCGGTTGCAGAGTGGGACGGGCTGGAATTCCGTACCTTCTGAATTCAGTCCGCGTGATCATTATGCCGCTACTCCTTCATCGTTTTTGTCTCCACGAGGTCCATGTGGCTTGCTGCTGCGCGCCTGCATTATTCAAAGACTTACCACGTTTTCCCCCTTTACATAGAACTCTATTCTTACCTGCGGTCCCCCTATCGTGACCTCTCAGCTTACGATAACAACGTACAGGTAGGGCTGCTCCGACCATCCATTCTTGTGCTAGGGCTTTTCATTGAGAATCTGCTGTAGTACGACACACCCGATCACGTTCCCCCACCGAATGCTCCTGGGCGCAGAACACGGTGGCGGTCACAATCACGTTCCCATTATCAACGCCCGCGTTCTCGAGATGTTCCATCAGCGCATTCTTCGCCCCGCCGGTATCTGCCGACCTCGCGGTCCACATCTTGCGATCCCTCACCCCGTCTCAACGAATCGCGCCCGCACTCCCCCCGGCGGAGCCGTGTCAGTGAGATGCAGAAGGCTGATCGTGAGCGCAATTATCGGCGTCGTCCCAGACACGACTCTTCCCCAATACACGACGATGGCTCGAGCTCCGCTGACTCTCGAGAGGATCGTAATCGCCCCGGGCTAGGCCGTGATGCACCTGGTCTCGTCGGCTCAGATCGGGCCCGCGGCACTTATAATGAGAAGAGGAAGCATCGCGCGGAGGACGTTAGAGCGGATGAGCCGAATCTTCCTGCCTCCCGAAGGGATAGCGTCGTGGTGGCCGATGACCATCCCCAGGCAATTGTTGCTCCACGAGACGATCTAGTCCGTCATCCTAACGGCCAGAACAGTCTCGCTCTAGCTGCGCTATCAACGCACGAATATGCAGCCGATCCATCCGCTGCAAGAGCGCGGAATTCGGGGGAAAGCACAGCAGGTGGTGATATTTATTTTGGGCAAACTTCAAATGAAGATCAGAGTCGAGCGACCATCCGTACGCTCCCAGAGGACGGTGGAACCGGACGACTACCTGATCCGGTCGATTCAGTGAAACCGTCTGTGCGCGTCCCGCGCAACGCTTTGCAGGCAATACAGGATCATCTTACGAGCAGCAGCAGGGACACGTGGTTTAGAAAACCAAGGGAAGGCGCAACGGGACCGGTGCTTGCTTCCTCCTCCCATTCAAGAGCCCCAACCATCCAAGCGTCTTTCCCGCGTGACGAAGCCCTGCGCCCTGGAGGCCCCTTGCCTTCCGACGAGGCCGTCCCTTCATTGCTCTTACGCCTATCGGACCCTGTTCGAACAGCCTCTGAGCAGTCTCCGAATGCCGAGAACAATACTGCCGGTGGGAGCCCAAGTTCACGCCGAGAAACCCTAATCGCGCGCAAAGGCAATGGTATTTCCGCTTCGGAGATGATGACGCCCACGAGAGGCCATGCAACCCAAACAGCGGAAGGATTGGAATCTTCTGTCGCCCCTCCCCTTACGCGATCCCACCAGCCTTTCCGAGCCGCTGGACGCAAACACAATTTGGAATACGAAGGAGGGGCCAATGACGTGAAGGATGCGGAGGAGGTGGGGCTGTTGTCCTCGAAGAGTAGATCAGGTCGGCCGCGGCGCCTCTATGCCACTTTGCCTGCCACCCCGAAAGCTCACCAGGTCCTTTTGCCCCCTTTAGGTACCTCTATGGCCACACGAACCGGAGGTGAAGCGCGCTCCGCGCCCCCATCTACTGATCCACGTTTTCTGCTCATGCGGAAGCTTGAGCTCGAGAAGCGTAGAGCGTTGGACGTTCCCACCGCTGAGAAGTCGCAATTGTCCTCGTCCGATATCGCGCGTCACGATGCTCCATTCGTTCCTACGGCATTTTCTGTGGAGCACACAAAGTCCGGTGTCCCAGGCGCGAAGGTCGTGGCCGCGGAGCGGCAAGCCGAGCGGAGGGAGGCAGAGTTACGTAGTCAGGCACAGCTACGTGTAAGGCTGGCCGCAGCGAAGAGGGTTGCTCTGCAAGATTCTGCGACCAGGACGGGCGGTAGTGCGCACATCGGGATCGACGGCCCATCTTCCATCGACGATGACAAAGATCTCAAGTCGCAGGAGCTAGCATTGAAGACCAAATTAAGGGCCAGGAAGACTTGATATTACGAGGCTGTGACTACAGTTGTATCCAGTACGGTACCTAAATCGAGCGAATATTACTACTTTTCTCCTGTGTCGTACGCTACATGTGAAGGAAGTGTTGGCTGTTATGACAGATGACAAGGATAGTGATGGCATGAAGGCGCGGCTACTAGTACGCGTGTATTGTATCGAGATCGTACTAAAATGATTGACAGTACCATTGATGAGAATGCGGCAATCGAAAGCGGATTATACGTCTGCTAAATAAGGTATAAAGAGCGGGATTGAGAGAGGTAAACGTAGACTGTCCGTCGAGCAGGTTCCTAAAGATTACTAGCGTGTACAGTTCGCTATTATGCGTAGAGAACGTGGCAGGATTCGTGAAAAGACGTCGAACAAGGGATCGTGGTGCGGCAATATACACAAGAAGCGGTCGGATTCGCCGCTTTACCGACTCTCCATTAGGGAGTGACTAAGTGCTAGGTGGTGGTTCATCTGTGTAGTCGTAGAGTCCAGGTCGTGCAGGGTGTTCTGGCGGTGCACCTCCTGCTATAGATCGTATAGGGTCGAAGCGCGTGCGGGGGAAAGTGGTAGAAGGACTGCGGCCGGGCGATGGCCCAGAGTATGCCATGGGGATAGCAGTGGAGATGCTGGGAAGCGGTTCGGGCACAAAGGGGGAGCGCATAGTCGTTGGCGAGTCTCCAAACGGCGGCGCTGCACCTCGCAGCTGCGAGGGCGGTGACCGACGGCGATTGTACGGCGAGAACGCTGGGTCGTCCCACTGTGGCTGTGGCTGCAGCGTGAATGGGGGTGGGATGTTCAAGACAGGCCGGAACGAGGCGAAGTCGACATTGGCAGGTGGGAGGGTACGCCGCGGGTCATCAAAAGAGCGCGGTCGATGGGTGGACGAATTGGACTCGAGTGAGCTCAGGGACGCGAGCGTTGGGTACGGACCGGCGCTCAGAGGGGTCATTGGACTGGATGCGGGTCCATGCACACGTGGAACGTTCGTTGCGACCGGAGGCAGCGTCAGAGTTAGCTCGGGACCCTGCTCTCCTGGAGGTCGGCCGGTACGAGGCGTCAGCCTGTACGATTCCGGTATCTCAACGGCGGCCGTGGACGGCCGTGGCGGGAACCCTTGCGAGCGTCCTGTCCATGCGGGATCGTCGAATTGGGCGCGTCGGCTTGAGCCAGGGATACCAGGGCCGGCAAGCTGCGTGGCAGGCATAGCGGATCTCGCATGATCCTCGGCAAGATAGGGATCGCGATGCGAATGCGAGAATTGCTCGGGGAGGACGCTAGAAGATGCGCTCGCGCTGCCGTAGCCCATCTCGCTCGCCCCGCCGGGACCGCGCGGGAAGAAGCCTTCCATGCTTGACCCTGAGTGAGCGGTCATCGCCGCGGGGCTCACATCGCTCAGTGCGCCTGGCGGTACATTGGTGAAGGGCCCAAATTGAGGTGGTCGCGTAAGAGGTGCGGACGTGGTGGACGCCTGTCCGCGGGGCCGACGCGCCTTCTGGCGTTGGTTCTACAAACAACGTCAGCACTTGCTAGTAGAGTCGAATTTAGGTGAGCTACTTGCCTGGAACCATATCTTGGTGGTAAAAGACAACAAATGAGTACTTGGACACCGCACGACGACGGGGGACGTACCTGCACTTTGCGAGCACTCAGGCCAATTGACCTCCCTACCTCCTCGCGCATCTGTGTAGTGGGAAACCGAGACTGCCGACGCGCGCGTCAGCCGGTGCCGTAAAGCGTCGCGAGGGCAGAGACATACCTGCGCGAGCAGTGCGTGCAGGACAGCGGCCTGGTGCGGTGTAGTCAAGGTCCGTGTCCGCTTCTTCTTTGGGGGCGGCCCTTCGGGCGCGCTCTCCGAGGTCGAGGGCTTGCTGGTCCCTCCTTCCATTTCGGTATCCGCCATGTCGCCTTGCGATGATGACCCCGAAGGGCTCGAGCGCTCGCGCTTCCTTCTTCTATGACTTGACTCGGGGTTCGAGGAAGGAGCGGCAGCGGAGGGAGCGTGGACGCGCGTGAAAGAGGCGGCGGGGACGGGCTGTGAGGGGATGTTGCTGGTGAGGGAAGCTTCTGGGATGTTTCGTGGGTCCATAGGGAGTGTATGTGGAGAGGGCGAATTCGAGAACGGGCGTGGTGGACTCCTGCGTCGTCGTTGTTCGTCGGTCGGATTACTAGGAGCAGAAGATGGCGCGTCTGCAGCGTTGCGTGACATGTTCGTAGAGACAGAGAGCGAGTGATTACAGTTGATTTCCGGAGCCAGGTGCGTCGCGTTAATTAGGGGCGTCGAGAATTAAGAGGAGCCGGATTGAGTATACGGATTGGAAGGGGCTCACGCCTTCGGCGGAGCAATGATACAGACAAACCCAGAGAGCTTCAGCACATCGGTTCGGGGGAAGGAGGATTGCCAGACCCGGAGACGGCCACGGAGTCGAAGGGGGGAGAGTGCAAGGAGCACGAACGCGTGGAAATAACCTGGGAGGTCGAATATGGGCGGACCTGCATGATGAGCAGTCGCTAGCTGCTGGCGCCGCTACGCAATAGAGCCGAAAGCGAAACCTATCAACGGGATCGAGGTGAATAATTGTCATAAGCCTGGGGAAACCTTGAAGCCGCTACCATTCAGGGAGGCTAGTCCCCAAACGGCATTCAGACGCCCACGTCAAGGGACCGTCGTAGCGTCACCGAGGTTGCGACGCGGGAAACCTACAGCAAGTCCGACTTTCAGCTTCACGCACAGTCTAGAGCGTCGTGTAACCAAGGACAACGACCGATTTCCGACGGCCCGGCTAGTCCTGATTCCAGAAGGCGACCCGTCTTACTGCGGCATTACGGCGACGGCCACTCGATAGTGCACAAGATCTGGACGGGAGGTTGAGCTTGACATGACCGACTTTGCCATCGTCAAAGGCAGGCATGGTCGCTGAGCGGGAAAGGCACGCGAACGAGGCTCACGCGATCGACAGCGTTGCCACCCGGCCCCGGGAGCGAGTCTCACGGTCGACGAGCCATGTGCCTTTCCTGGCTGCTCGCGTCGCTGATGCGCCAGCAAGATAGCAGATCGACCAGCCAAGCGTCTGCGGGACTCGCTGAGTCTGTCGTTAGGACCACGCCCATTCATTCGCCTGTATTTACCGATCGTCATCAGCAACGACAAGGCAACCAACCAGATGCGGCCCAAGCGACGCCTCGTGCTCGCATGCATTCCCATGTCCAGCTCTGAGCGCCTGTCCTCGGGCGCAGTACGCCCGCAATATGAAGACCGTCGACAGCAATGCGGAACGATAATCAATGGAACATCGTTTTGATTGAGCGGGCTTCCATCTCTGCCAGTTTACACTTACAGGTAGCCCGACTTCCACATCGGACTCCGCCCCGCCCTCGTACCAGGAGCGCCCATGATTCCACTAATCATCGAACGGCTGCCGTGCGCCGCGGTGACGACGAGTGACAGCCGTGGATACACATGCAAGAAGACCGAATATCTTCGCGCTTGCCTCGGCCCCCAGTCGTCATTGTGCGGTTCGACCACGAGGCTGCGGTTGGGCGTGATACTCAATGGTCAGTGTAGACTCGCACCCTCAATCGCAGCCGCCTGCTGCCCGTAAGTATTGGACGCTGACTAGTCCTGGCCTGCCTTGCAGAGTATACTGATTTGTGGGAGTCTCATTTGTGAACACCTAATCTCTGTCAGAACCGAACGATCGGAAGAAGGGCCTATTGCACTAAGAGATAGACACAGCAGGATCATGCCAGTCATTGATTTGAATTTACGTACGCCAAAGAGATGAATGAGAAAACGATGGCATATCCAGAGTATCGGGGCGGGAACGGCGAGCCGTGCTGTTCAAGAAGAGCATGTGTGAAGATGTCTCACAAGACAGTGTACATTGAAGCACCAGGAAGGTACGTAATCTGGTACTAGTACTCTGAAAGACAAAGCGATGAGCAAGGCACAAGACCTAAAGACATGGTTGCATCGAAGAAACCAAGGTCTTCACATTGACAGAAGGAGAGTTATCCGGTGATTAACCGGCCATCTTGATGTCTCGCAAGCTTAAGACTCCTCACGTGGCAGGTGCTTGCAATGTTTCTAACCCGTGGTTCTCCGCAATTGCCTTCATCACATCAATTAGTAAGTAATCGCGTCGGAGGCACCTACAACGAACCAAGTCTGTGGGAAAGAGATCGAAACGGCCGAGATGTTGAGACAATGGATGATAAACGACGCTCCGCCCCGAGAACGCAGCCGCGTCGAGTCTCGAGATTGTCAGCCAACTATACTCGGGCCGGGATGCCATGCGATTTCGCATGTACATTCACCAACCACCCGCACCGAGCCGCCGTATTCTCCTGTTGCGATCAACGGACAACTAAATCCCGCGGAAGGCCACAGGCCCACTTGCGGAGACATTAGCGCGTTGATTAAGAGAAGTGTCTCATCATAGCAACCAGGGAGAGTACTCTGAACGAAGAGAGAAAACTGGATGACTTTCCATAAGCTATCTACGGCTCTACGGACGTCCGTAAATCTCTAAACAGACCGATTTGGGCAAGGGGCAGTGTTGCCGACACCAGATCTGAACTCCGCTGATGAAATTTAGGATACGGACGTCAAAATCTAGGAGGGGGGTCCGACCCCCTTTCTAAATCTCTAACAGGCCGTAGACAGTCCGTAGACCTCGGCATACGGTGCCGTGACCACGAGAAAGGAAGGAGCCATCATGACAAAGCGAACTGCATGCCAAATACAGACATGACATAAGTCACTCCAGTCACGTGCTGATGATGAGCAGAACATGCCGCCTGTTTAGCGCCCAAGATCCACAGACTGTTTCAAACCCCGCCTAGAAATCTACGGACGTCCGTAGAGCCGTAAATCCTTATGGAAAGTCGTCCATTACTACGGTACAAGCCGTGATTGCAGGTGCCTCCCCACAGAAGACGGTAGGCGGATATATTATGGCAACAGGGCGTCGAGGAAGGACATACAGCACCCGGTCGAAGGCCGGGGGAGACAGAATGGGAGAGGGGTAGCAACGCGGAACCTTCCTGGATTCCTCGAACCAAGTGCAAAGTATCTGTCACGCGTCACAAACCGATACAAAACATCCACGTGATGTGCGCGCGTGTCACAGGCGCTATCGACGCGTCCGACGCGTCGATACAATCCCTGCTTGTCCCTTTTCCACCATCTCCCTTTCTCCGCTTAACCACCATCCTGCGATCCTGCGTACTATGGTCTCTGTTGCAAACCTGCGCTACTCAGTACCAACTAATCCTGTGGTGAGATGGCTAGCCACTCAAGAACGCAATCTCAACAAAGAACTCCCGTATCCCGACGAGGCCGCCGAGACGCCGGAAGAGTACGTCTGCCGCATATATCTCCAATTTCTATGGTTACCGCAGGTAAGACCAACAGTTCTCCGTTACGCTGTCCGATTTTATCGCATCTCCGGAGCTACCTTCGCTGTCACGACCTACGGCGGAGTATAAATGAAGTCTGAGTTCACCAGGGCTAGTCCCATCCGCTGCGCTCTGGGCATGTGCAGTGCAAAGCAAGCACGACGTGGTGTGCATGTAGGGCAGGCCTGACATGCACCCCATGTACGTAAAACTGCCGCCCGACTGTGGTCTGTCCATAGTTCGGATATAGCTCTCTCTACACTCAACCTCCTTGTCTCGGATCTCCCGGAGTGCACTCCCTGCAATTGTTTCCGCCACGTTCCCTGAGTATTTCGACGCTGCTGAGTGCTTCTGAAAGATTCTTCTGGTTGATTCGCTCCAAAGTGCGTCGGCTCTCGGCGGCCAACGATGATGTGTACATGCACAGTTCACTGTCGAGACCTCGGTATCAAGAACACTAAGTTGATCCGTCAAGCTCTCAATCGCCGAATAGCTTAAGTTCATCTTGCCTTTGTAGCCGTGTCGGCTGTCCGCAGTATGCAGCACTTTTGCTCGGCTAGTTTGCACCATGAGCATATTTGCCGACGAGCCCTAAGCTTTGACTTTTAGTTCTGTTCTGTTTCTCACAGCATTTCCTGGAACGGTGGGCTGCTTTTGGCCGGCCCCGACCCGGCTGATCGACGTAAATCGCTCATATTCGGATAATCGATGCGGCTCCACGGCTACCCACGTTTCGTGCAGCTGTGCCTCGTCTCTGCGCATCGCGTCCCTGCATGCAGAGTCCTCGTGGTGGAACGGGCACCGTTGCTCTTTCTGCCTCGTTGCATCGGTCGCTCTAGTACACACTGCCTGGAGCAGAGTTGCTTGATGAGGAAAAGCTCTATGACACCTCGCATCTACCCCTTAATACTGTTGCGGACACAATAATGCGGGCCTGCGCATCCCTCGTCGGCGGAGATGTTGATTTGCGTCAGAAGAAACCCGGCTATGGAAACTACCGTATTCAGCAGATTTAGCTTGCTGGGCGGTAGGTGAGCTCATAGGGCAATGCAATTCAGTACCCTGCCCCCATGAGGCTTGGTCCGGTACACCGTAGGATCATGGTCGTCGGGCAGGGTGACGTCTGATAGTATCAGGGCGACGCATATGGCCAATCTGGGTCAGAAGAGGCATAGAAACTGTCAAAGGATGCCTATTGCAGGCAGGGCACCATTCGGAAGTAGGCAAGGCGTGTAACTCTTCCATTCTTCACTCCTGTATGAGTCTTGCTCAATGGGGGGCACGTGTATTGTCAGTATCGACATACTCGCAGAGACCTTGGGGGGCCCGGAGCAGCGACAGTTGGCCCAAGCCAGCCAAGACTGTGAAGGGCTTCACTGGCAGCGATATAGCACACGATAACGCCGGTGCTGCGTCCGTGTCAGGGAAGCCCGAAGTTCCCGTTATCCAGGCCGAAGAACCATCCTTCGTCACAGTATGTCGTGAAGAGCATGAGCATGAGCAACTGCACCGGGATCTATCTATGAACAGCAGATGGCTTATCTTACATCGCCTCCTTCCGACTTCCGCAATGCTGAGCATTGGCTCTGCGGGTGCTCTGAACGTCTTGGTACTTCTCAGCCGCATTTGAGCCTCGCGCTACGGCAAGATTCACGGATTTCCGGAGCGTAGAGCTGTTTCAATCGGCGCCTTGAGCGCGCCGTGGCGACAGACTATGCTTTTCCGGGAGCGTCCTTTCCAGCGTGGAGTTCTGGGCGCGAGACCTGCTTCTTAGCTTTCCTTGGTGGTCCGGTCTTCCAGCCACTCGAACTGCCTCCTTCGTCATTTGGAAGTGAAAGTTCGTGTTTATACACCATGCTGAAGGTGAAAGTCGCGGATCGCAGCAGTGTCATCAGAGCTACAGCGCGCATCGGACTCTATGCGCACACCCGCATGCATCCGGCGGATACGTACAGACTGTGGTCGACGTTGGACAAGCTGTGCTTATGTTCCATAAGCCCATCGACCTTCGTCAGCGCCATTGCGGAGCATGTGTCATCACCCTATCCTATTTCCGCCTCGTCTTGTTTGCCCATTTTGCCTCGGTTTCTGTTGTTTTCATGACAATGTGGTCTATTAGAGTGAGGTTCGACCGCTGACCACCCTATCCCCCAGTCAATCATGCCGCTGCAATTTCTCATACCCGCATTGCTGCGCGTGACGTGCACATCACAACCCTCGGCAACCACCTCACAGGAGTCTGCCGGGCATCCGCTACACGATCTTCTCAGGGCCATTTTGTTGACGTCCCGTGCCGCCTCCCAGAAATATCACACCCGAATTCCAGATCTCATCGCCGAGGAGAACGAGCCGGCAGACTCCGAGGAGGAGTATATGTGGTACGCATACCAAAAGGACAAGAATGCCGAAGAGGAGCGGCTACCGGAAGGGCAAGTCGAGTACGAGGCTCATGAGCGACTCAAGGCCGCTTGGCTTGAGAAGTACGAGCGGAGAGAGTAGGTCGTCCACTTGTATTGTCGGATGCTCCACGGGCACGCTCTCACACATTTCGTTTCTGCGCCTGCGCATCTGTCAGGGTTCAGATACAGATGCTGCTGCACTTTCTGCTCATCTCCCTCCCAGGAGATCACGCTGCTCCATATACCAAGAGCGCGCAGGCGGCCATTGCCGATTCGCTTCCGCTGCCACCCTCTCTTTCGCCGACCAAGTCAAAAAAGCGTAAACACAAAGATCGTGGGACAGGCCGAGCACTAGACCCTCCACCACAGTCGCTCGAAGAACGCTTGGAGAGCTACATGGACAAGCTTGCCATGTGGCAGCTCATGCACTCCGTGGATAGCTCGCTAAACCGTGGCAGACATATGTCTGGCTCAGCTGCAGACAAGGGAAAGGGACAGCAAACGGACGACAGAGACTGGATGCAGGTCTTTTGCGAGGATGTCGTGGAACCGTTGTTCGTTCCTATTATTCGTCATGTCATGAAGGCTGTATTGACGTCTTTGGACTGCAGGTTCAAGGAGAAGCTTCCTGATCTTTGTTCTCTATTTCACTCGAAGCTCTTCCCCGATCTCGGCAACTCAGACACCGACTCGCTCGGCCTCTCACCACCAATCTCACCCAAACCCTCTACGAAGCGCCTGAAGTCTTTCGCGCACACGTCCGCTTCCGTCTCCTCTACCACATCGACCATAAAGACACAAGGCAAGGACAAAGGGGTAGAGCTTCGCACGCGCTCGCGCTCGAATTCCCTGTCGCTCTCACTCGAGCAGGAGAAGCGCGAGCGATCCCGCTCGCTGAGTATTGGACCGAATGGGCTTCGCAAGCGCACGACAGTTTACGAGGTGACTATGACGACAAAATTTGGGAAAGCTCGCGCGAAGCAGAAGGTAGCCGAGCGTTCAGAAACCGTGCCCGGTTCATCTCTATCGCGGACGCAGAGTCAGCAGTCTGTTGCTGGAGGCGTCCAGAACGCGATCAACGCAGAGAAGAGCTCCCGTCCCATGGGAAGCGTGCTTGTCGCAGCTACTCCGAGCAAACCGCGCGAAACTTTGTCGAGATTACAGTCCCACAAATCACAGACTCAATCCCAGTTTCAGTCACGACTCCCCTCACTTTTCGCGGAGGCGCCGATACCGCCGGCGCATTCGCAGCCATCCCAGGTCGCAATTAGCCGTGCCCACTTCAGCGATGATAGCGAGGAGGATGAAGAGCGAGATGCCGTTGTTACTCCCACGAAGGCCCGTCGGCATCCAATAAGGGCACAAATTCTAGAAGAGGTCGAGAACGAAGGGGACGACTGGAACCTGAGCAGCAGTCCTGGGACCCTCCACCTTGGCCCGTCCAACTCCCAGCCGTGGAGCCAACCGGAAGATGATGGGCCGCTCGAGAGCAGCAGTCCAGGTGACCTCGGAGGATTTGGAGATGTCATTACACCTCCGCGACAGGCTATCGCTAGGGGTACCGTCATGGTGGAGGATACCCCGACCAAAGGTTGAGATCGCAGGCCTAATGTGGACGGTAGATAGACCACAGGGACTTTTATGCGATATCGCCTTCGTCAGGAGTGTAGGAACACCTTCGCTATCGCGTAGTTGCAATCTACTCCCGGTTTGAATGCGGCGGACATACATCGAGCTTCCAGAAGGACCGATTCCCTGTCAGGTCACGAGCTGCTGAGCGAGACCGCAGGTCAACTGACACTTCGGCGGCTTTAAGCATGCTCAGCACTTCGCTCTTCCCTCGGTGAAGCGAGCGTCCCCTTCCGCAAGAATCGATCAAAGGATCTCCCCAGGCCAAACGCGATGGTGCGTACATCTTCGGTGACATCTGTGTCATGAGCGATAGGGGTTTGAGGACGTCGCTGACCTTCGGCTGCTGTTGTCGTAGGCGGACAAGAACTTACCCACAGTGCAGAGTATACCTCCGGAGACCCTTGACTTCGCACATCGCATGTTTGACGCGGCCCGCGACAATAATGCAGAGCTACTGTTGCAGGCTGTGGACGCGGGGCTCCCTCCAAATCTAACCAATGATAAGGGTGTGTCTGATCCTAACCACCTCTACGTAATATGGTCACCTAACCGTTAATGGCCTAGGAAACACCCTCCTCATGCTTGCGGCCTACAATGGTCATGCCAATCTTGTCAAAGAACTCATCAAAAAAGGAGCGGATGCAAATCGTGTCAATGACCAAGGGCAATCGCCTCTTGCTGGTGCCGTCTTTAAGGGGTACGACGACGTCGTTCGTATCCTATACGAGAGTGGCGCAGACCCACGAAGCGGCACCCCGACGGCGATACAGACGGCGCGTCTGTTCAAGAAGGATATTCTGCTGAATGTGATGGGTGCGACGAAAGAGGATCTCGAAGAACCAGTACCCGCTATTCCTGGCCCGCCCCATTGATCGAGGGTCAGGCGAAACGATTCATCGGACGGTATAAGCAGCCATTTATTACGAAACTATTACGAGACGAAACTATTACGAGAATATACAGCATATGATTTGCGATGGGCTGTAACATGATGATGGGCAGCGGCAGAGACCAAGTTATGCACAGGCTAGCGGCCTACTCCGAGCTCCCTCCCAATTTCCTTCAAGCAGTCTTTTACCAACGTTCTTGCATCTACCTCCACGGCGGTGCTAGTCGTCGGATGTTCGTCCATCGACTTCGGCTGGGCGGCGTCTGACATAGAGCGAGTCACCATGGTGATCCATGCCGTCGGGGTTTTGCGAGGGATAGCCACGATCTCGCACAGGATAGGGTAGAAGTGAAACAAATGCGCTTTCGTGGAGCGCTTGATGGCATCAGCAATGAGCGTGGAGGGGGGAACTGACGAGTCTACGCCTAACGCTAGTGATCAGTGCCATGTGCGAAGAACGCGCCGTGACAATGGCGAACCTGGTTGCTTAATACAGTATTGCGACGGTGCATCGGACAAGGCAGCCCACAGCGTGCCGGGCCAAAGTTGCAGGGCCAGTAATTTCCTCAAGACATATAGGAGCTCTTCTTCTCGAATTCTGGGCATTGAAATGAGTACGAGAACACTTAGACAGCGATGTTTGTGCGAACCTTGGGAAAGGCAAGTTGCCTCGCAGTGACTCATCTGCGACATACTCAACGAGAGTCATTCGGCACCGTTCAAGCAGAGACGGTAAGCTCAGGGCCGCTACTCTCTTCCTCGACGGTATCTGGTCTGAGACCGGTTGCCGTCAACGATCAAGATTGACACAGGTGACCGCTAAGCACTTACCTTGCGAAGTATCTGAGCATATCAGGAATAACAAGTCAAAGCACCAATATGAAAAGCGCTCCCGTGGTAAGAAGGGTCCTGTAGATGTGGAACCAATGCCAATGTACCCGTCGCCAAACTTGTTTCCCTTGGAAAAGTCCTGGGATGGTTGGTTCATACTCGACTTATCCGCTACGCGGGGTACGGGAACATCTGGCAGGGAAGACGGAGAGGGCGGCAATTCGTCGTCAGCAGACCGTAGACGGCTTCCTTGTTGTAGGACACGGGCCAGTTGTGAGACGATGTAATCCGGGACGGAACTTTCGCCGAGATATGGGACCACATCGATCTCGAGGGAGGCGACCAGTGCTAGATCGAAATTTTCCTCGGCTTCTTGAAGCTCGAGAGGGAGGAGCTCGATAGCGGAGCTATGATTTGCATATCAACATAGCCGTAGCATGACCGCCAACATTGTACTCACCAGTCTGCAAGAATGCCACCCCGGAAAGTATCGACGACCTGTCGCCAGATGCCTTCTATTCGGTCAGCCGGGATAGCTGATGTGATATCTCACTTAATGGTGCGTATGCTGCAGTGGCCGTCTTATACTCACCGTCATGTAATAACCTGATCTGAGCACCACACTCCTTGACGACACGTAAGAAACTTGTGGTCGCAGTCTTCCACAGCGGCTGATCCTTGCCGAACTTCGACGGGGCAGGACATTCATACTTCAGCTTAATAGGGATCGAGTATGCCTGGAAGAGACGCTTCGTTGAGCGACGTCTCGAGGGAGAAGGGGCGATCAGCGACCTACGGCGAATAAGGCCTCGACGGTACCATCGGCGTAGATGGCGGCGTCACCCTTGAACCTAAGGAAGAGGTCGACAAGAAGGGGCATCGTCTTCTTTGATAATGCAATGTAGGTCACGCGGTTCACGGCAGTCCGAGGAAGCTTGGTTACGGATCCAGATACGTTGTGGGGCGCGGTCTGGGCATCGAACGCTGCAACGAAGGGAAGGGTGGCGTATTCCGAGAGGTCACGAAGGACGAGAGAGATAACGCCATGCGCAGTCAGCTCTATGCTGTCTACCGCTTCCATTACGACAGCCTTTTGCCGGAAGTTATTCAGTAACAATACTTGTCTTTTATTTGGAAAGACCTACCTGGACAGGGCTTAAAGCGTCGATGTCTGGCCTGAAGTCATGAGAATTTGGATACGTCAAGACGCCTGAGGATAAAGGTGAGTCTCAATAAAATGAGTTATTGACCGAACGAACCTTTCAAGATGGTCATGAAACGTGACAAACGCTCGAGAGGCCATTCGCAATCTTCAAGACCTCTGCCCATGCTTCGCGTGCATCTTATGACGTCCACATACGCCATCAGACTCTCCTGCGTCAACGGCTTGGTCATTGACATCGCCGACGATTCTGACTTCGCTGCAGGGGACGATGCATTCCAGTCAGCAACAACGTTCCCCATCACGTCACATGCACGCCATGCAACATCGAGAGCTTCCATGGCGCGCGTTTTGAGGTCCTCGACTGTCGAAAGGGCCTTGATCGCCTTCTCCATGCAACGCAAAGCTGGAGCGGTGATCGAGCGATTGTCGTTCATCCACGAGTCCTGTATGTGCTCGACGAAGACGCTCCACGCTTTGGTGAACGACTCCAGTCGCATGATCTTGCTAGGCAGAAAGTCTTGAAATATAGACCCGATGGACTGCAGCGCAAGTATCTTGGACTCATCCCATTGTAGATCGGGCGCTGGGGTGGCAGGTGCGGCTGATTCTTCTGCGGGGACGGCGTCTTCAGATGAACTCCGCCGTATGGAAGCCGTGATAGAATCTAGGAGAGGGAACGTGACCTTCCAGATGCACTCGTTCCAGGTCTCGAGACTCAAGGTTGCGCCATAGAGCTGCAAGGTCCGGAAGAGCGTCTGAATGGCCCCAACGCGGACCTCCGGTCGTGCGTCCGTACAGAGCCCGAGCACCTCCAGAAGGAGGAACATCCAGAGTGCATTGTACTCGGGCTCCTTGTCTTCATCCCTGCGTTTGGCCTGAATGGAATCGGATACGCCCCACAGTAGACTCTCTGCTGCCGTCAATGCGATATTGGTGTCCGCTTGTCGGCCGAACTGGCCCAACGTGCTGATACACAGACGGAGGTGCTCGGGAGATAGCGACGACAGAGAATCACAAACGAGTGTGAGTGACTGGAACGCGATCTTGACAAGAGAGGTGTAGTTCTTCTCGTTGAGATACGCAAGGGGAGGGGGTCGATTCTTGCCTAACGCTTGGATAGACGGCGAAGACGCAGGAGTCGCAGACGGAGGAGCGGGGACAGGCCTGCACACACTGCTCAACATCTCAAAGATCGTCTCCCATCCAACGACTAGGGTGTGCCCAGATGATTGCAAGATTTGGTGCAGGGTCTCAAGGCCCATACGTCGCAACTCGATCGACGTCGTGTTGATCGCAGCCCCGGTTGGCTCTGGCACCACCTGTAGCGCGAGGACGTCTAAGACCCGTCGCTGTACTACAGGCTGAAGCTCTCCAGACGTCGTGACATTGCGTGGCACGACAACGAGAATATCGTCTAGGACCCGCGCTGCCTGGACTCGAATGGTGGAGGGCGCATGCTGATGGCGCACGACGGACAGCAGGTGGCCAGTTATGGGGTCCCAGGCAATGTCAGGAGATCTGTAAATAAGGCGATGGATGTTCAGCATAGCCACGCCACCGAGCTTGCTGATTCCGAAGTCTCCGCTGCGCTACATAGGTCGTGTCAACGACATCGGCATTGTTCGTGGAGTGATGCAGCGACCTACCAGCGTGCGAGGTAAGTGGATCCCACTCACTCGCCTCCTATGCGCGGGTTCCGCGGTGGGAGACAAGGTCGAGCTGGAACCTACAGACAGCTCCTCCGTCGACTCGTATGCCACGTCTAGCGTGTCCGACTGCATGCCGATCATGGCCGCGCTCAGCTTGCACAGAGCCTTGACGAAGTCGCAGAACGCCCCATCCTCTAGATTTTTCGACGCATCAAACAGCCGCTGTATACCATGTTGAAGGCTGTCTGGGTCGAGGTCCGCCAGGAGCGGATGACGTGGTTGCTGAGCGGCGGTGCCCACGGGAGGGAGCGGCGAAGAGGGGGTGCTTGCCGAAACAGAGCGAGACGGCGGAAGAGCTCCAGCCCCGGGACCAACGGTGTTGCGCTTGCTGCTCGCGTTCCGCGCGCCCCTCACGGAGAGGACGTAGTCCGCGTTTTGCAATGCCTCCAGGATATCAAACCAGCTTTCGCCCAGGCTCCCTGCCAGGAACAGCGCGCTCGCCACCAAGACCTTCAGACATGCCATGTTACGCTCTGACAACCCCGGCGGTTGCGTGTTCGCTCCCGGAAGGCCGAAGGTCTCCGTGATGGCGCTGGCGGCGGTACGGGGCGTACTTGGCTCTCCGGGCATGTACGAGTCGATGCTCGACACGACGCGAGTGGGAATGGCGAGCCGGGCGAGACTCGTGAAGAACGCGTCGCGCGGAGTGGCCAGCCCCAGCATGCCCGAGACGGTCGTCAACGCTTGATAGCTGGCGAGTACGTCGACGAACAGCTCGTCCGAGAGGTTGGTAGAGATCAGGAACGAGAGCGCCGCCAGAAGCGCAGGCCACCCGCTCTCCACCATATCGTGCACAGTGCGCAGCTGGTGTGTAGCCGCTTCCTCCTGCGGTAGCGTCGAGAGATTTAGCGCTGGAGGCGCACGGACGACAGGCTCTCCAGCTGTGCGGGGCTTCTGCACCATGATAGCATTGTAGAGGGGCGCCGTGAAGGAAGCGAAGCCTTCGCAGAGCGAGACAAGACACTGCACGCCCAGGAGGTACAGGTAAGACTCCGGGATTGGCGGAGAGTCTGCCTTGTCGAGCTGATCGATGCTGCTCAACATGAGTCAGTTACAGGCACGAGTGCACGCGCCTTGACACGCACCACTGCAGCTTCATCGCAGAGCCCTGGACGCTCAACCGCGCTTCGGTCGTCATCATGTTCGCGACCCCTGTGACGGTGGCACTTGCAGCACTGGCGACCATCCCAGCCACGCCCCCGACGTCGTACGCACCGTCGGCGCCCGATCCCGGATGCGTGGACACGCCGACACCAAACATCTGCTGGCCCACACCGAGCAGCGCCGGACGCTCCGTGACCAGTCTCTTCAGCGCCGTGATGAGCGACGTGAAGACCTTGGAGCCGCCCTCCTCTGCATCGTAGCGGTCCCAGACGTTGCGCATGAGTTCCGCATCACTGCATAGTCTGCACGGGATGGAGGTGAGAAGGAGAACCATTGTGTGCACGTTCGACTCACCCGCGCATGATCTCCATAGCGAGAACGCGCATCCACAGTGGCCGGAGCGTATGACCTTGAGCGGCCTCAGAGGGGTCAGCATCGCTCGTGTCTGCCCCGATAATCTTGATCAGAAGCATCAGGAACACCTCCGATTCTGTCCTCAGTTCCGACGAGAATTGCTTCAGCAACAGGAACACCACCCGGATCGAGCGTAGCGTCAAGGGGAAGTTCGGCCGATCCGATAGCGACTTGTGTACGAGGGGGCATAGGTGATGTTGCAGCAACAATAGTAGTTCTGTGTGCTGTACGATAGACGTTTACGACCATTCGTTTGACGCGATGTATCGTACGGCGCACCTTGCGAAACAGGTCATGGTAATTCGTCAAGACGCTCTCGATCAGCTCGAGCGCAAAGGTCTTGCGTAGGGAGTCGAGCTTCAAGAACCGTGGTTGCTCAGAGTTGGCGAGGAGACAGAGATCCTCGAAGACGGCGTACGCATCGTGTGCGGCGGGACCCAGCTTTGTCGATGTGCCGTTCGGAAGAACGGCCTCGATCTTCGCGCCTTCTGTCAGCTCATCCCGACGATCTTCGTCGACGACCTTGTCCACCACGAACATCACCAGCTGCCGCAATGTAGCTGCCGCAGTGGAGGACACGACTGCAATACGAGACTCCTGCAACCTGAAACAAAGAAGGAGGGCCTCACGTCGCGAGCCGGATGAGCTTCATGCGAGGAACGACGGCGCGCGCACTCACATCGCCGAGCAGCTGTCCATGTACAGCTGGAAAGTTTGTGATGAGCGAGAGGAGCGTTTGCAGGATCCGAAGTTGAATGTCGACGCCCTGATTCATACAGTCCGCCATTGTGGTGATGATTAGGGGGACTGCGGAGTGTGGTACGGCCTTGAGCGCGATGAGGCGTTGGAGGGACCCCAGGGATATGGCGACGACCTTGGCGTTTTTGGTTGCGCAACCCATAAAGACGGGGCGCAGAAGGTCGTCAGATTGCGGGCCATCTGGCGGTCGTCGCAAGAACGAACGTGGGGTATTGAGAGTCTGCGCTGAGAGAAGGGTGAATCGTGGACGTACCGGAAGCTAGGGTGGCGGTAGCCTGTTCCGGAGAAGAGCGAAGGATTGACAACGACTTCTCTGCAGCCTATGCCAATGAGTGAGGCCCAGTTGATGGTAGGCGGGTAGAGGCACTGCGAACATCCCGATGTTCTCGACCAGATAAACATCGATGTGTGGTAAAGTGTTCGCGAATTCATCGACTTTCTTCTAGTCGAAAACATCGGAATGCCTGTCGTGCGGGAGCTGAACCGAGCCAGTGAATACCGGAGACTCACTTCGCGCACATCGGGATGCTTTCTCCGAGTCTCACTAGCGAGCGACTGGCACAGCCTTAGCGTCGGTCTACGCGCACAACGACATACGACGCACCTGGAGCTCCGTGACAAGGAAAGCGAGAGAGCTCATCTCCTACACTCCTGAGCGGTTGCGGAACAGTATGATCCAAGCCGCTGTCGGTAGACGTTTCACCAATATAAGCAGCGCGCAGTAGGGCGTCACACAGGCCGAGTTGCACGATGCCACCGTGAGTCGAGGAATGCTAGGGTGCGCAGGCGAGAACCCGCCTCAAGTCCAGGTCTAGGAATTCGAGCCAGACGCTATGACGAGATGCAGTGAGAGTCGGACCGTAACGACCCGGCACCTATTGGGCGTTTCTCAAGTCCTTCGTTGACGCAGCCTATACTCGTCCTTCGGTCGTGTTTCTGGACACCACCATCGCGACTTTGTGGCTTCTCAAGATCTCAATACTCATGGTTCAGGTGAGACGAGAAGACTACCGCAGCGTCTGTCTGACAAAACGTCGTCGTCGTCCATAGCGTAGTTCTCGCGATCGAGACCAATGACACCCGCCAGAATAGACCAAGGAGACAATTGTAACAGACGCGAATGCTGCATGACAGAATCCTCACAATTTCCCGCCTCGGTTCCTTCACTTCCTCCATGGCAGCAAGTCCCTGGGAAGGCCTCAGAATATGGCTTTCTCGATCCGTCTATTCGATCAATCGCATGCATACAGCAGAACGAGACAAACGAGACAGCACATGTTCTATGGACTCTACGGAACACTTCTCGGATACCAGCCGGTTACAAGTACAGCGATGACGACCACTTAAGGTGCGTCCTCGTCCACGGCTCAATCGCTGATGGCAACAAGTCGCTTGACCCAATCGAACAGGATCGTGGTCCCGTCCTCAGCGACCACGGCGCCCGCGTAGGTCTCGAAGATCATTTGCATCTCCTAGAATTTCAGTGTCAGCCGCGTGTTGTGATGGCGAGCCAATGCCAAAGGGACCTACCTGAGGATCGTTCAGGTCGACTCCCTGGGGCACTGCCCGCATTCGGGCCCTCCAACCATAGGCATTGACCCAATGCGCGATAAAGGCGGGGTACTCGTTGACAACGTGTTGCTGGTGCCAACAGGATGCACGTTAGTGGTTTCCCATGATACAGACGCGAATGAAACGGACTTCGAGCTGATGATGTCCCAGGACGGGGTACTTCGCTCTCACCGCGGCCATGTAGGCTGTCTCTAGCATACGCTTGCCGAGCGTTCGAAGCCTCTCGCTGTTTCCGTAAGGCCTCGCGTCTTGGCTGAATGCGGCGGGGGAAGAATGATGGACAAAAACTTCAAGCTGTCCGTTCGCGGACAATACAGGAGCAGGGGGGATAGCGGCAGCGGCCATTGATGTGTCGTGGATCCGAGGCCTAATCGTATAGAGGCTGTTGGAGTTGCACTGTAAGAGGGCAAGAGAGGAGAAGTGCGGTGTCTGGGTTGCTTGTGAGATGGCTGGAAGTGTCCAACGGGTGAGTCTCTTTATACACGTCCTCTCCTGCGTCCCAATACGCAGCAGCGAGCCCACACTGTAACTTTAACTGCAATCCTACTGTTGCAGACAAGTACGTCTGCACCTGCGGTGGTCCATCATGCCTGCGGGCGGCGCGGTTTGACATACGCTACCTGTATCTGCGGTGCTGCGGGAGGTCCGTCGCAGAGCAGGAGGAGAACGCACGCAATAACGAGACTGCGCTACTCCATTCACTAGCTGACCAAAGGTGTGGAAATGCTAGTGTCCAACCATACGGGGTCAACCTAGGACCTGGCGGGTTGCAACTTACCGCATCTCTGAATAGCCTCATCCTCCACCAGCTCGCGGTCGCGGTCCTGCTACTTGTCTGCTCATAACAGACGAGCCTCCTACACAGAAAGCAATCGATGCAATTGTGACTGACCTCGTATCGGCTGTCGAGACTATACGCCCTCAGTTGTCTGAAGCTTCAGCTTGTGCTTGCCCCGCTGAGCTGTCCGTACGCGCAGCGCCCCTGTTTCCGGAGGGTACGACATCTTTTCCGGGAATCCTCTTGAGCAGGTCTGACGGTGCAGCTGTCAGAAGACTGCGGGTCTGCGAAATGATAGGCTAACGTCTCGCGAATCCGATTCCGAGTCTCCCAAGTTGCTAATTGTATTGTGGGTGACGTCAACTGCCTATTATGCCCTGTCTGCGATATTCTGCGACGGCATGATCTTGACTTATTTAGAGTACTGTGCTATTCTCTTGGATGACCCTCATCATAAGGCATCATGTCATACTGTGTGATACCCCGTGCCTTCGTGTGCCATCGCACTCTCAGCATCAATCTAGATGGGTTCAGGGCACGTGAACATTGCCCAGTGCTAGATTTCCTCTGTCCGAATCCACTGTATTAGTGCTATCGGCGAGGGTACATGCTCGACCGTGTATTCCCGTGCTGTCGTTTATACAGACAGCATTTGTTAGCAAGCTATGGACGCCAAACTGCGGCCATACCAAACGCTTGTTTCTGATAGTAGACGATCTTGGATTTCCAAAATGAACGAGGAAGACAAGAGGGAAGGCAGCGCAGTCCATCGCGTGTATGAATGGACTGGAGATAAGGTAGCCATGAAGCTTGCGAACACTACGGCTGCCTTTTCGGGACGGACACGTTTCGCTAGAGGCTGGCTGGCTGGGTGTGCTGCGGGCAGACTGATCGGCTAAGATTGGGGGCACTCCACGAGCGGCCATCGGTCAATGCAGCTCCATTAATGGCGGCTAACCCCCCGCCCGCAAGGGCTGACAGCCCTGTCCCAGCCAGCACATCCTCCATCTACTCTTCTATCTCTGCTCTTGGTCCAAGCCAGTCCCCACCGCATCCGCTCCTTGTCTTCTGTCCGACCCCAAGTACCTCAGACATCTCCTAATTCCTGCGCTCGTCGACGTCGTCTCGCGCCCCGGCTGTCATGGTGCTCAAGGTCACCACTACGACGCGATACGCCCTGCTCGTGTTCCTCGCGATAGTGAGTTCTCTTCCGGTCCAATGCCAAAGGAGCGGGCCCGCTTGTAGGCCGGCCATCGAACATAAGCTCATCTGCACCCGCCACAGATCGGGCTGCACTCCATCCTCCGAATCTCACACGAAGACTATGGCCGCGCGACTTCTCTCGAGAACATCGCTGCCCAGCTGTCCTGGGGCTCCACCGACCTGGACTCCGTTCCCGATGAGTACTACATGCCCGTTGAGACGACGCCCCCCGACACGCTCCTCTCCCGGCGGGCGAACGCGACGCTCCTCATGCTCGCGCGCAACAGCGACGTGAACGACGCGGTGAAGAGCGTGCGTAGGTTGGAGGACCGGTTCAACAGGAAGTTTGGCTACCCGTGGCTCTTCTTGAATGAGGAGCCGTTCTCAGATGAGTTCAAGACGTGAGTCCTTCCGCTTCACCGCGTCTTCCGTCAGAAATCCCTTGCAAGAACACTGTCCTCCTCTTTGCTATCGCGCGCGCGAACCCACTGGCTATGCACGCTACCCCATCTGCCATACAAGCTTCGCGCGATTTGAAAAACGTACAGCCGCCCAGCTCCGTCTAGAGCCTCCAGGCTTGACAGCAGGCGGCGCGCACTGATCTCTCCTGGTTTACGTGAGTTTATCGGGCGACATAACGACAGGGTATTGCTCTTCGATACTACCCTAGGGCCTGGGACGGGCCATCTGCTCTATGGTGGCGCGATCCGATGCGAATTGCCGTCCGACTGCCGTTGCTATACATGTCCGCGAGGAGTTGATGCGACAGCTCGGTTGGCGTTCCGCGCACCGCGATGGCCATCGAAACGGGTGTCCTCAGCCGGCGATAGTGGGATGCACCCACGGTGTTCCGTTACGAATCTCCGCAGTCCCTCGGGCGACACTGTGCTGACCGCCCCTTGTCCTGCAGGCGCATCAGGAACGTGATCCACGGCGAGGTCACCTTCGCCGAGATCCCGCACGACCACTGGTACCAGCCCGACTGGATCGACGAGGACCGCGCGCGCGCCGGGCGCGAGAAGATGGTCGCGGACAACATCATCTACGGCGGGAGCGTGTCGTACCGCAACATGTGCCGCTTCAACTCCGGTGTACGTCGGCGCTCCTCGTCCAGAATGTGGGAATCGCGCTGATACATTGTCGGGCTGCGCAGTTCTTCTTCCGGCACCCGCTCCTGCAGAACTACAAGTGGTACTGGCGGGTGGAGCCCGACGTGCACTTCCACTGCGACATCAGCTTCGACCCGTTCCTGTACATGGAGGACCACAACAAGACCTACGGTACGTCGCCTCGCACACGCCCGCGGGGCACGCGCAGCTGAGCCGCCGCAGCGTTCACGATCACGATGTACGAGTTCGGCGCGACGATCCCGACGCTCTGGGACGCGACCAAGGAGTTCGTCGACGCGCACCCGCAGTACGTCGCGCGGGACAACGCGATGGGGTACATGTCCGACGACGGCGGCAACAGCTACAACAACTGCCACTGTGCGTCTCCGTTTCGTCGCCGCCTCGTGAGATGGGCCCGGCGCCTCGCGTGCTGACCAGCGTGTTTGTGTTTCGCCCAGTCTGGAGCAACTTCGAGATCGCGAGCATGGACTTCTGGCGGAGCGAGGCGTACACGAAGTACTTCGAGCACCTCGACGCCAAAGGTGGCTTCTACTACGAGGTACGTGCCCCTCCCCCCCCTCCCCTTCCTCCCCTTCTGTCTCCCGCGTTTCCACGTTTCAAGGCAAACGCTGATCGCGACTCTGCGTCTGCAGCGCTGGGGCGACGCGCCCGTGCACAGCATCGCCGTCGCGCTCTTCCAGGACAAGAGCCAGATCCAGTTCTTCGACGAGATCGGCTACGAGCACAACCCGTACACGCACTGCCCGCGGAACCCAGACGCGTGGGCGCGCGGCAAGTGCGACTGCGAGCCCAAGCGCAGCTTCGGTGCGTCCCTTTCTCCCTTCTCTTCTCTTTAGGCCGTCGTGCCGTCGTGTCGTCGTCGCGTTCCGCTGACGAGTGCTTGACCGTCGCGCAGACTACGACGGGTACTCGTGCATGCGGCAGTGGGACCGGATCTGGCAGTAGTCGCGACCGGGACCACCAACCTATCTCGATTCTCGATCCCGCATTTCTCTCCTGCACCGCCCAGCTCGACGCGATCCCGGCACACGCTTCAAGCTTCAGATCGACTCTGAGAACCAAACCAACAACGGCCACGAGTATCATATGTAGCGCTTACCATGTCACGTGTATATCTAGGCGTGCCCGTAGACCCCTGTGTCTGGCTTACGATCTTGCTTCCGTCCACGACTTTGACCCTACGAGGCCGTAGCATACTACTAGACGTTCGCTCATGCATAATTTATTGCCTGTGCTTCGAGTTCCTCACTTGGTGCTCGCGTGGGGAAGGATCGATCGTGAGATGTAATGATGCCATGTACTTACGATCAAGTCCTACGAGCGATTGCTGATCCTTTTGATGGCAGACTTGAGCTTGAGAGACCGCAACCGCGGTACTTACAGTACCGGCATCAGCGCGACCAGGTCTGCTGACCTAGTCCACTTCAAGTGCGGTGGGCGCACGCAGGGGCACGCCTTGGCTCGCCTAGGGCGCGGTGGCAGATCAGCCGTTCGTCGTGTTCGAAAATCTGAAGCCTGGGTCACGCTCACGAGCTCGAAACCCACCAGCGGCCGACGTCTCCTGAGAGAATGACTCAGCCTGTAGACGAGCTCGAGGCCTTGCAGCTGCTGCGGGCGCTTCAGCTACGCCGGTGATCGAGTGCATATCCAGGACGAGTCACGGTATCGACTACATCAAGAACGTTTATATAAAACTATAACATAGCGTGGTTTGCGCCCGACCCCCCGCTAGGACACCAGCATGGCCTACGTGAACAACTACACGCCGCCCCCGCCTGCGCCCGCCGTCCTGCCCGAGTCAGAGCTCTACGGCCCCGAGCCATACGACATCAACTTCGCGTACCCCATCCACGCCTCGACGCTCGAGTCCGCTTCGCTCAAGCTTGTCCCGTTCGTCCCCGCGGTGCACGGCGCGGCCTACTGGGCGGCGGTCTCGCCCGCGCTCGCGTCGACCTTCCGCTACTACCCCGCGCTGCTCCCCACGCTCGCCGACACGCTCGCCTTCGTCGAGCGCGCGGTGCGCCAGAACCCGCACGCGACGCTCTTCGCCGCGCTCGACAAGACGCGCGCGGACGCGGCGCACCCGGAGTGGGCGGGCGCGCTCGCGGGCATCGCCGGGCTGTTCAACACCGCGCCCGCGAACCTCGCGACGGAGCTCGGCTTCGTCGTCGTGTTCCCCGCGTTCCGGGGCACGCACGTCGCGAAGCACATGGTCGGGGTGCTGCTGCGCTACGTGCTGGAGCTGCCGGGGGCGCGCGTGCCGGGGCTGGGGTTCCGGCGGGTGGTGTGGAGCGCGCACCCGGAGAACGCGGCGTCGATTGGGCTCGCGGAGCGGATGGGTTTTCGGCGGGAGGGGCTGCTGCGGTGGGTGTGGGTGCTGGACGACGCGGTGAGGGAGACGGGGAAGGACGCGCGGGAGGACGCGTTTAAGGGGAAACGAGGGAGGGACTCGGTGGTGCTGTCTGTGTGCTGGGATGATTGGGAGGGTGGCGTGCGGGAGCGGGTGAGGGAGGTCCTCGACAAGTAGCGCGAGTGGTGTGAAGACACGGGTGCGTTTGCTGCCTGTGTATGTAGTGTGCTGCGGGGGCGGAAGACTGCATGCATGTTGCGAACTGGAAATAATGCGTTGATGCTGCTGGTCCGACTTGCGCAGCTGCCGATGTCTGCAGGCGGATGCTGGCGCGGGGAGGCTGCGGCGTAGTAGCGATGTTGCTGGCTGGTGCTGCAGCTCCTTGGTCCAGCGGGTCCCTGCGTCGACGTCATCGGTCGATCGACGAGAGTTTCATCGCGTGTGGGCATGCTCGCAATGGGTCCCCACGCGCCCATAACGTACCAGCATAGCTGCAACCGATCGCGAAGCGCATGCGAGCCCATATAGCGCGACTCCAAGCTGCGACTCCAAGCTGCGTCACTTCTCACCTCATCCCACTCGCACTTACCGTTCGACAACGCAAGCCATGGCCGACAAGCTGCACGAAGGGCAGGACGTCTCGTGAGTAGACTCACCTAGGATGCGTAATGCCCAAAGCACTGGAAGACTGATCGGCACGGCTTGTGGCGTAGGTGGAAGTGGGGAGGCGGAAATGGCCATGGAAAGGTCGACGAGATCGTAGAGCAGGGCAAGGCGCAGGTCACGAGCGGCAAGGTCAGTCAGTCCCGCTGCTGGAATTTACCAACGTCAACGAACGAAGCAATGTCGCAGGGGAATACCGTGAGCCGCAATGCCAGGCCGGGAGACCCCGCAGTCAAGATCACGAGGGATGGGGTACGTTCTGCGCCGCACATATTATTGACTAGAGCTCACTTGTTGCTCGCTCGCAGAACGACGTCGTGAAGCTCTCGCACGAGCTAAACGAGGTGAAGGACGCCGAGTAGACGGTTGATTCCAGCTACAATGTTTACGCACCGAGGTCGTCGATGAAAGGGGCAGTCGCCCCCGTTCATCGCTGTACCGTTCCAGTAACTGTGGACATGATCAAGAGAATGATACAAGACCTGCGGTTGAGCTTTTAGGAGCTGGACCCCATCAATGTTCGGAGTCTGGCTGCGACTGTCCATCCCGAGGAGGCATGCGAGCGTCCATATACGTACGCACGTCGCGTCGTCACGATCGCGTCTCGTCACAGCTGAACACGGTTCGGTTCAATTTGATCGTCCGGGCCGAGCCATCGATGACTTCCTTTCGAGTCAGGCAGGCCGGGCCGCCCGTGCTCACTATATATCCCATGTGAGGCATCATCCAATATGCATCAAACTGACCGCATTATGGTCTAAACTACAGCAAGTGCTCGCCCCGTTCTACAAGAGTCGTGTGAGGATAGCACGATATCTCACCGTCCCGCACTGGTCACGGCATGAGCCGCCATTGCATCGGTGGACAAGGCGGACTCGGTTGTTCCACATGAAACCTAGGCGTGAACCTTTCAATCCTTTGGCCCTACTAATACGAATTTTGTGAGCGCCGGTCTTCCGCCGAGGATCCGTCCTACGAAGCCTGAGATGAATGGGGAGAATGGATGTACTTTACACCTATTTGACCTTTCTGATGCGTGATTGACTGTACCTGAACCACGGTGTAATTCACTGTAATCTACCCCTGTGAATCTCGAGCGCGCCGAGGCCCAGTGCTATCTAGCCCGTCAATCTCGCCGGTGGACCTCTTTCACCGCGCCCCAGCTCCACTCGTCATACCGTCGACGTTCCTCGGAGAGCACCAGTGTCAGCAGCCAGGATCATCGACGAATCGGTGAGGCGTGCGGTCGACATCGACGTCCGGGACAAGTTTGCCATTGAACAGTGCAGGGAGCGGCGCCCGCTCCGTCTCCCCGACAGCCACCCCCGAGGGGTGCGAAGGGGATGAGTGACAGCGGCCTTGTCCGCACGGCGGAGGCGAACCGTTTGAGTGAACGAGTCCTTGATCCCCGAAACGTCAACATGCTCATCTCGAACGCGTCCATGGCGGGTTACACGGCGGAGCGTTCCGCCAGCGAACGAGTATATGTCGGGCGCACTGGCAGGGGCGAGGGAACGGTCGCCAAAGCAGTGTTGAACGCGTCTCTGCACGGATCCAAATCCCCAAGACATGGCACAGGCCGAGGCGGAAGGGGGACGGATGGGATATCTGATCTGGCATGTGGTCTCGTGTCCGGGAAGAGGGCGAAGTAAGCTGGAGTCGCGTTCGGGTCCATGTCATAGTCGTTGCCACGAGAACCACGTCTGACCCAATACAACCGTCCCCCTAATGCCGCCATCGCGGACTCGGATGGTGCTGAAGCGTGAGCGTGCTTGGCGAGCATTGCAGCCTACGAGGTCAATGACTTCGCAGCCAAGCCCAGCACGTCGGGCCGAGTCGTCCCAGGCGCGGTTTCCACAGTCTGCCAAACCTCCGGGTGATCCTTGATCCACTGAGACCTAAGACGCAGCATCTTGGGCGTCTCTAAGTGGTAAGGCGTCTCGGACGTGTCCGGCGGATTCTCGACCTCAGGTAGTTCCGCTGGGCGAAGATGGGAACATCAGTCGTGTACGATAGAATAACGGAATGACACTACACAGATGTAAACATACCTAGCTCCGGGCACCATGTAGTATACTTAGCTTGATACCGCTCGTCACCGGCTGCAATGTCGTCCACCGAGTTTGGGTCCGAGATGGAAGATGCTCTGGTAGGCGCTGGAGCGGGAGCGGCGGTCAGGACACAGATGGACCGCATATACTCCCGTTCGACTCACGGAAATCACAGTCATCTGCCATCTTCGACGATTTCTTCTTGGTACGCCGTAGCTCCTCTTCTAATTGCTTGACAGCCACATCATCTGGGACGCGTACGACAGACGGGCCGAAGACCCGGGGACGGAGCTTGATGATGTTATAGGCGAAGCGGGCGTAGAGGAACTCGTCAGATACACGCAAGGGTACAGTCGACACTTCTCTTCCATGCAGCAGCTCTACGTAGTCCCTCGATGTCCCGCGTACGAGGTACGTGACGTACTTGCGATCGCCCACTGGGTAAAAGACGAAGGATTGACTGTCAAGCAAACGGTGCACATCGCAGCGCAGCGTAACACCGTTTGAAACATCATTGACGGTAGCTCCCAGTGTACTCCTGTTGAATCGGCCCATTTCGTTCACTAGGAACCAGGCCAATTCATCCTTGGGCACTAGGTGGGCATTGTCACAGACTACGACCATACTTCATGATTTGTCTGTATAATATGACAGCGCGACGTACCACTGGTACTGCAATATCCAGTGACCACGCAAGATTCATCATCTGTCTTGACCCGCCAAGACATCTCCGACGACGGAACGCCCTCGTAAGCGATCCGCAGATTATCGTCCTCTTCGGCAGTTTTGGGTCGAATCCAATGACGGGGGATCACCTTCGGAAACTTGAATGCGGAGAAGTCCATGACAATCGGATACTTGGTGACGTGCTGAGGGGCGAGGTGATAGAAGTACCTGCCCGGTGCCAAGAACAAATCGTTAGTCGGGACAGGTCTTGTGCCTTCGGGATCAAACGCAAGATAATCTTCCTGACTGTTGGCAGCAAAGTCGGTGATAATGCGACAGGCATCCATGACGAGACTGCGAGCAATGCCGTAGACAGTGAGGCCGTCAGCAGGACTGGAAAGGCGGGGAAAGGCGGGGAGAGAGAGCAGCGAGATATCCATCCCAACGTCGTAAGCGGGATGTAGTATCTCAACTGGCCGGGATTGAACAGCGGCTGGCGGCTGCATTTTTGACGAGAGGACTATGGCAGACAAAGATTCAGGCTGGTACTCGACCATGGTCACTGAGGGAAAGGAGGTACGGTACTATTACAGCGCCTTGCATAAGTCCGTGAACGCGCTGATTTTGTTCTCTCCGGCGTCTACGCTAGGCGACCTGCCTAAGTAAGCCACATTACGGTCACGAAGACTTCTACTACGCCATAACGGCACGTCACAATTGAAGAGCTACTGACTCGATATACAAGAAGTTCATTATGTGTATAATGGATAAGAAATGTTTGTATCTCATTTTGTCCTACATATGAACGCGCATAAAGTGGTCTAATGCTCATGTTCTAATCTCCACACAATTCACCTGCTTACTTCATGTCTGGAGCAAAGGCGCAATCGCGAGGGACGCGTACTTAGTGGCAGCGCCTCCTGCATCTCCAGATCTCGCTAGACATTGTGTTGCCATGTCCCATGTCGAGCGTAAGAGAACGAGGCTAATGGTCTGCAAATCGCACTGCAAACATTTTGACCGTTGAGGGTAATCAATTGCGGTCCTTACTTT